TAACATTCAGTGCCATACCTGCAAGCAATGGGGCAACATGGCAAGAGAATGTATGCAGAAACGGAGCCGTCAAGCATGGAACCCAGCACCACGAGCAGCCGCGCACCACCACCAGGCAGAGCCATCACCCCAGGAGCTAAGGTTTAATCACACCGAAGAGCCCCTGGGAACACTGCATGACGTGATGTCTGTACAAGCCACAGACAATAGGCACCCTCATCGCCAGATGGTAACCTTGGAGGGGAAAGAAGTACAAGGGCTCTGAGATTCAGGGACCACTCTGACTCTAGTAGCACCTCATTTGGTTCCAGGCTCGGCACACACAGGTGGATCCGTGGCAGTCCGAGTAGCAGGGGGAGTGATGTACTGATTGCCAACAGCAAAAGTACACTTGAATTGGGGTGTGGGGGAAGGGATAGTAGAGGTGGGCCTGATGCAAAAACTGCCAGCAGATGTCGTATTGGGATACGACCTGGGCAGAATGACTTCCGCTTTTGTACCTCAAGCCCCACTCCAAGAGGCGTACGCGGTAACCACAAGGCAACAGACTCGCACCGCGGCTTCATCCACACACTCTGAGGCTCCGGTAAGAGACAATGTACCCCCTATGACTCATGTTCCCTGGGATACCCTGACTGAATTTGGGGCAGAGGTTAAGGTAGACCCTACGTTGAAAGCGTATAGAGATAGGGTGACCTCGGATCAGGCTGGGTTAGAGGGGGAGCGGTATGCTTGGGAAAAGGGGTTATTGTATCGTATTGCTGAAAGGGTGGTGGGGGGATCTGTAAATGTTACTACTAGACAACTAGTAGTACCCCAGAAATATCAACAGGAACTCCTTAGGATCGCTCATGACACTCCGTCTGGGCATCTGGGTATGACCCGAACTAGATATCGACTGACCCATGCATTCTTCTGGCCAGGTATATCTAAGGATGTGAGGTAATACTGCCAGACGTGCGACATCTGTCAGAGAGTAGGCAAAAGGGGTGACCGACACAAGGCTAAATTATGCCCACTACCCATCATAGAAGAGCTGTTTAGTAGGGTGGCCGTAGATATAGTAGGACCCTTACCCAAAACCAGTCCCTCCGCCAAGAAGTACATCTTGACCGTGGTTGATTACGTCACCAGGTACCCCGAGGCAGTAGCCCTCTCCAATATTCACGCAGAGAAGGTGGCAGAAGCCTTAATGAAAGTCTTTTCCCGGGTGGGGTTCCCATAGGAGATAATCTCAGATAGGGGTATGCAATTCACAGCTGAAGTAACCCAACAACTCTGGAAAATATGTGGCATTAAGCCTATTGTGAATTCGGCTTACCATCTTCAGTCCAATGGGTTATGTGAAAGGTTCAATTGAACTTTAAAGCAGATGCTCCGTACCTTTGGAGAGGCCCATAAGGACTGGGAATGATTCTTACCCCATCTGCTGTTCGCCTACAGAGAGGTACCTCAAGAGTCCACCGGGTTTTCCCCCTTTAAATTACTGTTTGGGAGGAGGGTGAGAGGACCCCTAGATTTAATTAGAGAGCATTGGGAAGGGGAAAGCAGTGCAGATGGGATACCCATTGTACCATATGTGCTGGAGTTCAGGGACCGCTTGGAGGCACTGACCCAGACCGTACAGGTAAACCTCCAGGCAGCCCAACAACGGCAGCGCCGATGGTATGAAAGGGGAGCCAGGGACCGCAGCTTTCAAGTGGGACAGAAAGTTTTGATTTTAAAACCTGTCCACAATGACAAGCTGCAGGACATCTGGAAAGGCCCATATCAGGTGGTGGAACAGAGATGTGACACCACCTATGTGATTGGAACCTGCTCAGGGGTAGGGAAGAGATGCATGCTCCAAGTGAATATGCTCAAACCCTACCATGAGAGGATAGAGAACGTGGCAGCTATATGCACATCAGCTTCTGAGAGAGAGAGGATCAGGCAGAGAACGCCGCAGGTGTTGAGTCCTCAGGAACGTGCACAGGTACAGGAGTTAATTGCGGTTAAGGGAGCCACTTTCTCCAATTTACCAGGGTACACCCCGCTAGCCACTCACCGGGTAGAGACCCCAGGACAGCTACCGATGCAGCAGACCCCATACTGTATCCCTGAAGCAGTCAGGGAACATATGCAGAAGGAAATTGAGGAGATGTTGCAGTTAGGGGTTATCGAACATTCCAATAGCCCCTGGGCATCGCCGGTTGTGCTAGTACCCAAGAAGGATGGCATGACACGCTTCTGTGTTGACTAGCGGAGGCTAAATGACAAAACAATGTCTGATGCCTACCCGATGCCCCGGATAGACGAGCTGCTAGATAAGATGGCACGAGGCCAGTACCTCACTACGATAGACTTGCGCAAAGGGTACTGGAAGATTCCTTTAGCCGAGGATGCCATCCCCAAGTCGGCGTTTGTCACCCCGTTTTGCCTGTACCAGTTTCGAGTCATGCCATTCGGGATGAAAACCGCTCCGGCTACCTTTCAAAGGATGGTAGATCGGCTACTGGATGGGTTCCAGGAGTATGCATGTGCATACCTGGACGATATTGCCATATATAGCCAGACGTGGTCAGACTATCTGCAACATATTGGAGCTGTCATTGACCGTTTTGGAGAGGCAGGGTTGACGCTAAAACCCAGTAACTGTCATATAGGGATGGCAGAGGTACAGTACCTTGGGCACAGGGTAGGGAGTGGGCAGCAAAAACCGGAACCAGACAAAATACAGGCTGTAGCTAAGAGGCCTACACCCCGGAAAAAAAACCAAGTGTTAGCCTTCCTGGTTACCGCAGGATACTGCCGGAAGTTTGTACCCAATTACAGTGCCCTGGCCAAACCCCTGACTGACTTGACCCCAAAAATCTTCCTCGACAGGTCATCTGGGCCCCAGAGTGTGATCAGGCATTTCAACAACTCAAGACTGCTTTAACCAATGCACCTGTACTTGCTGCTCCTGATCCAACTAAAAGATTTCTTGTCTACACAGACGCTTCAATGTTTGGATTGGGAGCAGTGCTGAGCCAAGTTGGAGCAGATGGCGGAGAACATCCCGTAGCTTACTTAAGCAGAAAGTTATTACCACGTGAAGTAAGCTACGCTGCCATTGAGAAAGAATGCCTGGCCGTGGTGTGGGCCCTCAAAAAGTTGCAACCTTATTTGTTCAGGCAACCCTTTTCCTTACTCACAGATCACAACCCATTGGTGTGGCTGAACTGGGTGGCTGGGGACAATGCCAGGCTGCTGCGCTGGAGCTTGGGGGGATTTGGGATATTGCCTTCATTTTCAGTGCTTTCCTTGGATTACCTTCTTTTACCAGCGGAGATATTGGGATTTAATATTGCAGCTCCGCTACACTTACTTACATGAAACTTTTATAGCAGTAATGCTACTTCCTTAATTTAAACAAAGAAAAAAGAAATAAAAAATATATAATACTACTATAAATATATATATATAGTTTATATACACTATAAATGTGTATTTGTGTAACGTATATGGAATGAATAATGAGTGGTATATTTGATACATCATATTGTTAGCATTGAGTTGAAAGACACAGAAATTGTTCAAAATTTCCAATGATATTCTAAAGACTTCAGGTGACTGCAAATCTATTTCACACACAATTTATTTTAATTGCATTTGCTTGGGAACATTCACAATCAATATTACACAAGAATAATAGATGTCACATTATTGAAACAGTGACATGAAAAACACAACTTATATGAAACACCTAGGCTCAATACTCCTTTGCACATCCTATTTTATGAGTGTTTTAATATGAACAGTTAATAGTGATCATGTTAGCATCTGCTGTCTAATAAAATTGACGCATATAATGTTATGTAGAACAATTTATACAATATTATATTTAATGTTGATGCATATATTTTGTATGTGTTACAATAAATAGATGAGCTATAAATCCAAAATATAAAACTTACTTTTGTCGCTTTGAATTTGAAAAAGCACAACAATGGCTTGGGTAAGTTAAATCTGCTTCAATCAGTTCTGAGAATTTTTCCATCGGAGGTAGCTTTTTCAAATTGTAAGCTGATATCGCTATAAGCCTCTTGATATTTTCCAAACCATAACTTGGAAGAGCACTGATTTTTGTTTTTGAAATATCTCTGAAATAAAAGAAAGAATCTGGATGAATTATTTTACACTTTCAAGTTAAATTGTGCAATAATGCTCTTAAGACAGTGTTATAATAATGAAAAGTGGCGATCGCATTGTTAAATGGATGCATATAATGTATATGGGTCTTTAAAAATGAAGTTAAAATTTAAACTACTGATTAATAAATAACTTTTAAAAAGTATAGTATTCACTTATTTATCTAGTAAAGTTTCATTTGTATACTATATATCAGTGCTCCTCAACCCTCTCCTCAAGGCACACATAACAGTCCAGCATTTAGGGATTACCCGGGTGTGTCCAAGGTATTTACAAAAAGAAAAAAAAACACCTTAGAGCAGGGATAGGCAACCTTCGTCACTCCAGATGTTGTGGACTACATCCCCCATAATGCTCTTACACCCATAATGCTGTCAAAGCATCATGGGTGATGTAGTACAAAACATCTGGAGTGCCGGAGGTAGCCTATGCCTGCCTTAGAGCCTAAGGTGTATTTTTTAACACCTTGGACACACCTGGGTAAACCCTAAATCCTGGACTGGTAAGTAAGCCATGAGGAGAGGGTTGAGAAGCACGGCTCGATATGACCAGCACGTAAATGAAAATGGCAAGCACCCTCTTCCATACTTTTGTACAGTAAGCAAGTTTGAATTAAACACTTTAATTCAAGGTACTGCTTCATCTGTCACCTGTACAGTACAATAATTTTGTGCTATTTATATAGACATTATACTAACATTCAGACTTTTTATATTATATTGCATACAGTATAAAGCTACATTTCTACAGAAACATTATGTTCCTTATCTGAGCATAAGCCATATATATTTAACTATTTCTATGTATCTATTTTTATTTTACCTACTGTATGCTATATAATATTTTTGCTGCTTTTGTGTTTATATTACAGACTTTAGACTTATGCACGGCAAGAAATTATGGTTTCTAAAGACAGTACATTTTTTGAGACACCCAACATTCGGTCAGATGTTGTCTTGGCTCAGCTGAATGTCCATTAGGGAATTGAATCTGACAACAAACCAAATATGTGTGAAAATGGGCATATCTATGTTGTGCAAAATATATACATAATATAATATTATGTACATATTTTGCAGTACACTGACATGAGCATTTTCCCAACATTTGGTTCACAGATCAAGTGAGAAAAAGTAACAAATAGAGAGTAACCAAAACAGAGAGGAGGGAAATTTAAAAAATACATATTTTTACATTATATATATATTAACGGAACACTAGAACACAAACATGATTCCTGGCCCAATAGTGTTTAAAACACTATCTATCCCCCTGGCCTCTCCGGGCCCCCACTTGTCCTCCTAAATATAGTAAAATCTTACCTTAATTCCAGTCTGCTGGAATTAATAAAAGTTATTAAAAAGTTTAATAAAATAAATACAAGTACTTGGATCATATATATATATAATAAATGAAGAAAGGAGATGCACTCTTCGGTCTTTATGAAAAAATCACTGGTGTTTAATGTAACAAAAAGTTTACATCTGTCTGATCGACGTTTTGACAAATTCAGGTCTTCCTCAAGATCTTGAGTGCATCTCCTTTCTTCATTTATTATATACATTCAGCGTGGAATTGCACCAGGGCATACTATTTGCATATAGCATCTGAAAGGTTGAGTGCCATTACACATATATATATATATATATATATGATCTAAGTACTTTTATATGCACATACACATACATAAACCATTAATAAAAGTGTATTTTAATATTTATATATATATAATAATATATATAAATATTAAAATACATGTAGAATGATGTTAATTATATATAGCATCCAAGTAGAGAGCACTCTGGAGTCTTCGTTTTATATCAAAATAAATACTGCTTTATTGTGCAGAATACACAAATGTCGACGTTTCAGAATGGTCACTTTTTCAAACCTTAATTGAGTCAAGAATCACCTGGTTAATATTCTGTAGAATACGTCAATTATGATGTCACCTGTTCTTGCTTTCAATCTTTCACCCTCCAATAGGAATTTTGTTGTAACATATATAATCACGGTTTATTCATTGCATGAATTGTCTTGAGAAAAGTCTATTGTGACTGAAACGTCGACATTTTTGTATTCTGCACAATAAAGCAGTATTTATTTTGATATAAAACGAAGACTCCAGAGTGCTCTCTACTTGGATTCTATATATTGGTCAGAGATTACTTGCACCAGAGCATGGAAAAGACCGGGAACATTGAGTGCTGGGACCTGGGAAAATAATATATATATATATATAATCAATAAATACATTTAAAAAAATAATAAAATTACATTAAAAAAATTATATATCATTTTTAATTTGTTCTAACTGTATTTTGATATTAATATAGATATATATTAAATTCAAAATACATTTAGAATGACATTATAAATACATATATGTATCTATATATCTATCTCTCTCTATATAGCTATATATAAATAAAAATAATAAAAAAATTATCCATATATATACATATATATTTAAATTCTACAAATATATTTATATGATATTTTTACATAATCAAGTCATTTTATTAATTACAATTTGAGGGACCTGCCTGACAATCCAAGCTGAAAGTCCAGAGAATTTGGCTCGCAAGCACTATATTTAACCCTGTAACTTTCTAGGACACGATAAAACCTGTACATGGGGGGTACTGTTTTACTCGGGAGACTTCGCTGAACATAAATATTAGCATTTAAAAACAGTAAAACCTATCATACTGGCCAAATTTAGCATTCAATTTAGTTTTTTGCATTTTTCACACACAAACAAATATAAACGTTAAATTTGGCCAGGGTTTGTAATGGAGTGGCTACTAGAAAGAACTGGACATACACCATTTGTAATACCTTGGGTTTTCTACTTTTGCAAATGGTATGGCATCATTGGGGTAATTTTCATTCCTGGGCTATCATTTGGTAACATAACCAATCTGGCGAATTTCAATGTGTATAAACTGAAAATGTAACATCCCTTATTTGACCCTGTAACTTCCTAAAACACTATAAAACCTAGGGGGTACTGTTTTACACACAAGGCATCACTGAATACAAATATGTGTAATTATTGCAGTAAATGCAAACAGTATTATGACATTCACAGTTAAAATGTCACGTAGAACTAAAAAATTTAATTTCTTATTTTATCCCATTGTTTTTTTACATTTTATTCATATTAAATTATATTTCATAGTTAACTATTTGATGTTAATGAAAGCCCTGTCTCCCCTGAATAAAATGATATATAATAAGTGTGGGTGCACTTAATATAAAAGAGGTGAATTACGGTTGAACAGACATATAGTCAAATTCCAGGTTTTGTTTACATTTTGGTGTACATTTGGCTCAGTCCTTAGGGGGTTAAACCATAGACTTGTGTTTCAGCTAGTCCATAACTCGGGAATATTTCTGTCTGCTCAGAATCCGGGTATTGTGCAGAATGCCTGATTGGCCTAAATTCAGCCTAATTGCAATTACGTGCTAAATGAATCTTCAAGTCTAGCAGACTCTGTCTGAAATATTGTAATAAAATGGATACCACATCAGTTCTTAAAAGGTTTTCACTTCAATGTCAAATTATGTAAATTTGCATAATTTACATTTTCATTTGCCTTTGAACAGCAATCTAAACATAAAATTGCAGTTTTACCCTATATGGCATTTATGCATTTCATATTTCAAATAAATGCTATGCTAATATTTTTTTCTTAGAACAGAAAGTGTGGTATTGAAGGATTTGATAAATAACATTTCTAAAAAAATATCGCCTTTACTGTGTGTGCATAGAATTTGCCATCTATATTCTATACTAACACTTAATTTAAAGACTAAGAATGTCCTTTTAAAGGCACAATTGTTTTCAAATTACGAAAGTCAAAGCACTACTTTCAAAACTAGAGATAGGAGAACAATTTGTTGTATTTTCAGTCAAACATGAAAAGGATGGCCACATATTTAGCATTTCAACAAAAAATGGTGTGGTAGTTCTAATGAATGAACATGGCTAGCATTTGTGTTTTGCCACGAATTTAACCCAACATTGGCCTTATGCAGTTTAACACTGCTATTTGGGGCTTAAATTGAATATTTTTTTTAATATCTTTTTCAAATTATTTAACATTTTTTGAGTAAACTTTTAAAATGTTTTACTATTTTGATTTTTTAAAAATATTTTTTATATTGTTAAATATAATAGATCTTTTGAAATTTTTATATTTTGAAAAATTCACTCTAAAATGTTTATCCACAAATATTTAAAAATATTGTACGTGCAATGCTTCAGTTTGAAATGCTTCACACACAGAGATATTTAGGATAGCTGCCAGATGTGTATCTCCAGAGAGCTCCAAGTTCGTCAGTGTCAATTCTGTGCCCATTTCTTTGCACAGAGGATCATTTATTGGATGTACTCAGGCAATAAATGCACTGTGGGATTCACATATGACTTCTGACACGAGACTCATTAAATGTCAGGAACCCAAGTAAGAGGCAAACCGTGTAAAATATTTTGCCCTTTACTAGTGAACTCTTTACTAGTGAACAGTGCCATGGTACTCCTGAGTACTCGTGATATCATAACCACTACTTTAAATTTTGACTAAAGTTATTATTGAGCTTGAAAGAATTAACAGTTTTTATAGTCTCTCTATATCTCAGAAAGTTATACTTAAGAATAAATTAGTTTCTCTGCAGGGGAAGGCAAGCAATGTATTGGCTACATTTTGTTTTCCCAAATATACCAAAAGGTGTTGGGGCGCCCCAATAGTAATATAAAGTGCTATAAGTGAAAGTGCATTAAATACGTATCTGCATACACTTAATAATCTCAATAAAGTGCTACACATTCCACCAAAAACAGCGCTGTGCTACTCTATATCTCACTAGATTATCACAAGTGCAATTTTTAATTTTATATTTATGCATGCAGGGGAAATGCTTAAATGGTTGTGCATATCTAAACAAAAAAAAAAAAATTATGGCGCAGAATATCTGTACACTGCAGCACCCACGCACTGTGGTCTCCCAGTGTGCATTATTTAGTTATATTGGTTGTGGGTGAAGCATTATACAGCTATTCCACACACTTCATGGTTATTTAATTTTTTCTTCACATTTGTATAATTTTTAAAATAAGATTTCCGCTGGATGAATACGTATACAATTTAAAAATTGCACTTGTTGGTCTAGTGAGGAACTGAATAGCACAAGACTTTTTGTGGTGTATTGTTTAAATTTAGTTCTGCTTTATTTTCCTTACATTAGGATTAGGATTGTAAGGGTAAATTGCTACCAGAGGGGATTGGTAGACATCGTACTGTAGTTATCTCATATTGTAGAAAAAATAAAGAGAAATTAAATAGTGCGGCAGTATTTATACTCACCAGCTCATTAGCACAATTTTCCTTTATTGTTGATTGCTATTTCACCTCCTCCTCTCCTTAGTTCTGTAAATCTTTTTCTTTTTTTTATCTGTCTGTTCCATTTTTATTGCTGTCTAACTGGCAATTTATTTTTCAATGATAACTTCACTTGTTTTATGTCATCTGATTTTCACACTTTGTTTCAGAAATATTACAAATTATTAATAACCAGTTTCAAAAAAAAAGTAATCCTCATTTAACCTATGAAATTAATCCCTTTGTGATAGACACTGAACCATGTATATTGCTGTCACTAAGACACTAATACATGTACAGGGTACGGTGAGTACTTAATTCCCCTACCACCACAGGTCTCACAAAATGCTGTGTAACCCGGCTAATGTTGGATACCGCATAATTGTTGCAGACTAGTAAAAGCAACCCTCGGGCTGCTCCTGCTAGCATCTGATCACTGTGGCACCATGACAGCAATTGGATGCCAACTACCATTAAAATACCATTGATGGTAGTGGGGACAATCAGTACATGTCAAGCATGCCTTGTACCAGGATATTTCAGAATGTCACAAATAAGCACAATGTTAGAAATAATGTAAAAGTGTGATGCTGGTCAGCACAGTGACACAGATAATATCACTTAGGCAATTATCTTCTCTGGACACAAGAAAAGTGACATATGAAAATAAAATTGTGTCTTAAATTTCCCCCTGTAAGTTCACCCAAATAAACTGGCAAAGGTATATCAGTGGGGCATTATTATAATTGGAACATACAGCACAATGCAGTCTAAAGTCTTTTAGGTAGTAGAAATTCCCCATTAGACTTTAACAAGTATTTGAATTTTTTTTTTAAATATTAAAATTACTGCTACATTTAGCAGAAATTGGGGATAACATGTCTTAAGTAAAAAAAATGAAAATGCCTCAGATTAAATAGTTTAGGTTGTCTTATTTTAAAAATGGTATGCTTTGATGGCAAAAATGCAACTAGGTGCTGCAGTTGTGTTCCAAAAGCAACATGACCCCAGTTATTCAATTGGTGAATAATAGAAAAACTGAAAATTGAAAACTGAAATTAATATGTCTGTAATTTGACCTCATATCTTCTAAAAAAATCCAACAACGGTCCATATGAAGTATTGCTGTTCTTGGGGGCAGTAGCATTAACGTTATATATTCTTATTTGCAAAAGAGATTGTTAAAATTCAATTTTAAATGTAAGTTCAAAATGGCTGAACTGGAAAATATCAGCCATGAAAAGTCAGCTATGCTTCCACTTTGGCTACTTTGGCCTTTAAGGAACACTATAGTGTCAGGAATACAAACATTTATTTGTGACATTATTGTGCCTGTGTGCCTGTGTGACTGTTTATGTCCCCAACCCAACCTTAGATTGCTCTGAAAATATGATTTTACTCATCCTTTTTTAATGCCGCACCAGTATTGCCATGGATGGCTCAACCTGGACCAACCTCCATGCCTGAGAACATAAATTTTTTATTTTTCAGCCAATCCCATGCTTTCCCATAACATTAACTCATAGCATCTCCTCGTTGAATTAATGCATCTCTATGGGGAACGTTCAGTGACTCCATGCAGACTGTGGAAACTCTGAATGCAAGTGCGGTTCACTGTACAACACTGACACATGAAGCACTTTAGTGGCCATCTGAATGAATGTCACCAGAGCTGTCACTAGCTTGAAATGTAAGCATTGCGTTTTCTTTGAAGCTTTAAGCTGTAGTTGTTCTGGTGACTATAGTGTCCCTTTAAGTTTGTTGTTGTAAGTTCTTGTCTAAGCAGACCAAAGGATGCATACGTTTAGATTTAAATTAACTCCTTGCAATATTTGAAGAAAGACACAGCAAAAGTGCCAAAAGAAAATCGGTAACAAATGCATGAAATCCTGCAAAATACTCAGTCTCTAAGGTGTTAATACAGTATCTCACAAAAGTCAGTACACCCCTCACATATTTGTAAATATTTTATTATATCTTTTCATGTGACAACACTTAATAAATAACACTCTGCTACAATGTAAAGTAGTAAGTGTACAACCTGTATAACCGTGTAAATTTGCCGTCCCCTCAAAATAACTCAACACACAACCATTAATGTCTAAACCATTGGCAAGTGGAATGTCCAAAACGTCCTAAGTGGAAATACACCAAATTTAACACACCTGCTCCCCATTTTCACCTGAGACCTTGTAACACTAACGAGTCACATGACACCGGGGAGGGAAAATGGCTAATTGGGCCCAATTTGGACATGTCCACTTAGAGGTGTAGTCACTTTTGTTGCCAATGGTTGAAATATGAAACCATTGTCTTCTGTTTAAATGTTAATGGCTGTGAGTTGAGTTATTTCGATGGGACAGCAAATTTACACTGTTATACAAGCTGTACACTTACTACTTTACATTGTAGCAGAGTGTCATTTCTCAGTGTTGTCACATGAAAAGATATAAAAAAATATTTACAAAAATGTGAGGGGTGTACTCACTTTTGTGAGATGCTGTATGTAAAGGAACCCCGGGCATAAAAGGGGGTTAAAAGCCGTTTAGGAGATCTTCCCTTCCAGAGACACAGGCAGCTACTGTAGACACCAATCCGCCGAACCGGAGAAGCATATGAATGCTCTCAAACATACGAATGCGGTAAACAGCCGAATAGGGAAAACCATACAAACAGGTTTACACAATGGGTAATGTAATTATCACAGACAGAGAAATACAGTTTTTCCACATTATTCATAACTTTAAAAGTATGCATCACATTCACATAAAACATTTACATTTTTAGAATCAACATATTCCAAATATGAACATATGTCAAAATCATCCACATTGGTCCATTGGTTCAAAAGATAGATCGAAGTCCTTTGTGACCAAAGGAAGCATGGCTTTTCTGCCCAAAACCAGTTCCACAGAGTCTTCTATCCTGGAGATAATTGGGAAGTAATCCAATTATCTCCAAGGACAGAGGCAAAACTCCATTTCGCACATGGCAGTAAAAAAACAGTAAAATACAATAAAATACACAAGGTTACATTTATTACATAAAATACAGACATGCAACATATCCCCAGATAGCTTAGGTCTGAGCGCACATTATTACTGAATGGCTCTCAGACCACACACATACAGTTCAATTGCCATGGAGCCAAAGTCTTTTATTACCCGAATAGGCTATATGGCATAGCTATCTGGGTTAAATTAGTTAATTCAGTAAATCCGAGAATCTACCGAACGCCAGAGCAGAAATGCATGAATAGACCTTTCTGCATAGGAAAATAAAGTATTTAAATGCCGGTCCATAGTCAAAAGGCAGCAGGCAGGCAACCAGGCTCCTCCAATGCACAGTGGCGAGATTGGTCTCGTCACACTGTATATGATGATTAGTAATGTCCTATTTGAGTTATATGAGCAAGAAAATCTGATTTAATTCTGCACATAATATATCTGCAATTGGAATGTACAATTTCTGAACTTGACTTTACATCATTTATAAACTACTTTTAATAAATAAATGTAACACCTTGAGTCTTATATTATTAAAATAATGTGTACAATCAACACTTTAACAAATAAACACCTCAATAAACATGCCAGACTTTTCAATTATATTTGATTATTACAGCTGTCAAGGACTGTTTACATTTTCTCATTCACTAGAGCAATATGTCTTTCTGTCATCTTGCACAGAAAATAATTGTCTTTAATTTTGAGAAAATATAAGACAAATGTTTATTTTTTTTATATTTTTTCTACATTGCTCAATATGTATGAAAAAATAGAGAAATGTAAATATCTAAAATCTTAATTAAAATCATGTATATCAATTGTCATACCTGTGTCTTGAGTCAAACGTTCTCCGACGGTCCTGGGCGCTCTCTCCCGATCCGGTGAATCCCATGCCGGACATGATGATGTTGGACAGTGTTCCGATGTTGCCAAGGACATGGATTGCTCTACCTCTCTCTCCCGGTATTCTAATCAGGTGGGGCAACATCCCAGTACTCTTTTCCGATACAATGCGGGTCTCATTTATTTTGGCGTCACATGTGACACAGGCCAATCAGAGGCCACTGGGGACTATATTAAGCCCTTGTGACCTCTTCACATTGTCATGTTGTGGGTTTTAGTAGCCCGATAGTGCATTCTTTATTCCTTGATAGTTCTGGTATTTGAATTGGCTTTGTCTACATGTTTATTTTGAATTGTAGTATCCCTTGACTCTGTTACTCTAGTATAGCCATTGGTCTTTGATCTTGACTTAAGCCTGTATATCCAATACCTTCTATATACATTAAGCTTGTCCACTCTAAGGTCCGATACTATGTCTTTGCTGTGTTTAGAGTTCTACGTGCTTTACTGTTTGTGAATTAGTTGAGTGAGTGCAGAACTGTATGTGCTTTTAACACAGCTGGGAAAAATATTATATCTCTTTATTCAAGAGGGACTTAAAACTGTAAAATACAGTTGCCAAAAAGGTTCAGTTAGAAATACTCAAATTTTCATCCTGATTTTGCCCCATTTTATTTATCATGTTGTAGACTTGTCCCAGGTGCACATCTAATAATTTATAGGAAGGACATTGTGGTAACTTTGTAATGTTTCTTCCATGTTTATATAATTACAAATGGTTAAATCTTAACAAACCCCATGACTTGTTATAACATCCAATTAATGAATTGGACATGTTTACTAGAATAGGAAATCGCTAAACTCGGATTCATTGTACTCTATTTCGAAAAAAAACTCTGAGAAAAAAATCTCTGGTACTCATTTCTGAGTAAATTATTTTGTTCATAATGAGCTAGCTGGGATTTGAACCTAGATTTCCCAGGACAAAGACTGAAATTTTCGAAATTCCAAGAACCATCTCTTAATATTCAACTAAATGAGTATAAATATTAACTGGGAACAGACCAACAACTAGATCTTCAACACTGTCTATTAACAAAGGTTATATCAGGATTACTGTATGATCCAGCACGTAGAACTGTATAGCCTGAATGACAAATAAGTAACGTATTACCGGTCCTCAGAATGGCTGGATTTAACGTACATAGAATGGTCAAAATACTAGCTGAGGTCAGGGAACACAGAAAGGGATGCAATGATGAGGAAAGCCAGGAGTCAGGATACCAGAATACAGAGAAGTCAATAAGCAAAGTCAAAGTAAAAAACCAGTAGAAAACTATAAACAGGAACGCGCTCTCGGACAACCACATGGGAAACCATGACAGTGCACTGAGTGGAGGTCAGACTAGGTTTTTATATCCATCCTCCCTTTCCCATTGGTCAGCCCGGTATTTTGGCTCCAAAATGTGCGTGTGCGGTGCGGTGAAATTTAGTTCTAAACTTTTGAGGAAAAGTAGTCTCCAACCCAGGACTTAGATGGACAAGGTCTACTCATTGATGGGACTATAGTAGCAATAAATATTCTATGTATTCCCCCATTCTCCATCATCTCAACCACCACCATGTGTCCACCTTTAACTCCTTCCAATTCACTGTTGGCCTCTCTTGGTTCTGTCCCTTTTCTATTCCCTAATTTCTTTGATCCTTCTATTCACCTATTCCATCCTGCTTCTCTCTCCAATTTCTCACATTTTCCAGAAGAGAGCTTGTAAAAAAAACTTTACAAATTTATAGTAATTAAATACGCATAGACCATGTTAGATGTAGTCTATTGTATACATATTCCACATGTTGCTTGGAAGTACATGGGAGGAAAAACTCTAGATGTTTCATTTATAATATAACACGAACTGCTTGTTTGATATTAACTATTAATTAAACTTACAATACAGCTGGTCCACTGGCTCCATGGAAAATTAGATCAGGTAATCTTGTCAATTCCTGGTTCCCACTGAGTATTCTGTTAAACATAATCAATTAGTTTAATTACAACATAAAAGTGAAAAGCATTCTAGCAAAGCTGACTTTATACACTTACAGTTCGGTTAAATGGGTGCCATTTAATGCATGGTTTTGTATTTCTTCAATCCCATTTTGGTTAAGCCGTCTGCAAAGAAAAAGGTAGGAAAAAGAAATGCAGTTGAGCTAATTTATGTTATTTATGTAGCAACAGGAGGTTAAAAACAATTTACCATTCATTCCAAGATTTCACAGCAAATCATAGAAAATTATCCTTGCTAAAAATGAAGCCTTAAGTTTTTTAACCTTTTCATGATGGTTGACTTGTCAAGACTGTCATGATATAAGAGAATTTGCCAAATTCTTTGTCACAAATGGATTAAGAAATATTCAGTTATATTTTGGATAGTGGCATAAAACAGAATCGAGAGCACTGATCTGATTATAACTCAGCCCTCCTTGTTGAGGCTTGACGTCACTCAATGCATCCTTCTATGACGTATCAGACCCCTGCTAACCATGCTTGTGGGTGCCATTTTTTATATATTTGTCATCAATATAATAAGAAAACATGATTACTACATTCAGTCTCACCTCCTTTGTTCTCGTATATATATATATATATATTTTTTTTTTTGTGATATCATCCAACAAGAGGCAAAAAGGGTGAATCTTCAGATCTTCTCAATTGTCTATATATACCATGGGCATCAGGTGGTAGACTAAGGTTTTCGGTTTAATATTGTTGGATACGCATCCAAGTGATTTGATATTTTGAGATAAACTTTTTAAATTATTTCTAAATATTAAAAAATACAAATGTTTTATCGTATATAACAAAAATCACTCAATAATTGTCAAAACTATCAAACTATTTCAAATTTAAATTAATTTACAAAAATATTAAATCATCTGAAAAGCTTATACAACAAAAATCAATCGAAGCCTATATCTGTGTAATCTAATGTATTATTGGATGTACATCTTGGATTTTTGTATGAATGCCTTCTTTGCTTGGCTTTGACCTACCAACCTCCTGTAACAGACCAAGTACAATTCTGTTTATAACTGCAGTGTGTATTGTCTAACTTTCATTGATATATACAATTGAATAATTAACCCCTTAAGGACCGAGGACGGTTCAGGACCGCTGAGGGTCCTGAACCGTCCTAACGGTCTTAGTTACTTACCTGATCGCCGTCGTTCCCCCGGCGACGATCAGCGTGGCTCCCAGTGTGGGGAGACTGCCTGCAGCCCAGACAGTCTCCCCACACTGGATTTGGACCCCTGGGGCCATGTGATCGCTTAACACAGCGATCACATGGTCACAATAGGTGTCCATGTGTCTGCCTGCAGGGGGACTGCCTGTGCTGACAGGCAGTCTCCCTGCTAGTGTAAAATAAAAAAAAATAAAGTTAGTGTTAATAAAAAAAAAAAAATTAAATATGTGTATATATATATATATATATATATATATATATATAATATATTGACATATATTATATCTATATAATATATGTCTATATATCATATATATGATGTCATACTAAGTGTATTTTTATTTATATGTACTTATATTAATATAAAAATACACTTATAATTAAATTAATTAAATTACACATGTATATATATATAATATATATAATAACTATATATATTGTGTGTATATATATATATATATATATATATATATATATTATAAAGTATAAATAATAAGTAATTTAAATTACATTTTTTTTAAACAATAATAAAAATTGAAAAAAATTATATATCTATATGAAATTTTATTCTAACTGTATTTTAAAATTAATATATATATATATATATATATATATCAAAATACACTTAGAATGAATTTGTATATATATCTATGTATATATAAATAAATAAAAATAATACGAAATATACATATGTCCATATACAAAATTACATAAATAATTATATAAATATACACGTAGACTTCACATATATAAATATGCATATATATTTAAATTCTACGTGCGTATTTATGTAATATTTTTACATAATTAAGTAATTTTATTGATTGCAATTTGAGGGACCTGCCTGCCAACCCAGGCCGAAAGTCCAGAGAATTTAATTTGCTAGCACTGTATTTTACCCTGGAACATTCTACAATACCCTAAAACCTGTACATGGGGGGTACTGTTTTACTCGGGAGACTTCGCTGAACACAAATATTAGTGATTCAAAACAGTAAAGCATATCACAGCGATGATATTGTCAGTGAAAGTGAATTTTTTTGCATTTTTCACACACAAACAGCACTTTTACTGATGATATAATTGTTGTGATACGTTTTCCAGTTTTTAAACACTAATATTTGTGTTCAGCAATGTCTCCCGAGTAAAACAGTACCCCCTCCTGTACAGGTTTTATAGCATTTTTGAAAGTTATAGGGTCAAATATATGGGTCAAATATTTTTACATTGAAAATGGCCAGGTTGGTTACGTTGCCTTTGAGAGCGTATGGTAGCCCAGGAATGAGAATTACCCCCATGATGGCATACCATTTGCAAAAGAAGACAACCCAAGGTATTACAAATGGGGTATGTCCAGTCTTTTTTAGTAACCACTTAGTCACAAACACTGGCCAAAATTAGCGTTCAATTTAGTTTTTTTACTTTTTTCACACACAAACAAATATGAATGCTTACTTTTGCCAGTGTTTTCGACTAAGTGGCTACTAAAAAAGACTGGACATACCCCATATTGAATACCCTGGGTTGTCTACTTTAAAAAAAATATGTACATGTGGGGTGTTATTCAGAGATTTATGACAGATAATAGTGTTACAATGTCACTATTGATAAATTTTAAAAATGTATGTTTTGAAACTGCAATTTTCAAAAGGTGTTTTATCTCTTTT